TGCAATTGACATAAACACTAACGGTATCACGGTTGATGTTGGAGAGAGAGAGCGCGAGTCTAGAAGAACCATGAACTTGATTAATTAAACTTGAGGATGAAATTATGAATTCAAGCAGTTTCTGACAATCACGCCTGTAACCGTCAAACGTCATCATTGATGAATTTCCATCCATTTCTAAAATTTTCATTAGAATCTTTTAGAAGCTTAGCCTGGTTTCGGTGGAGCACAGTTGGGTTGAAAGGGCAATGAGGGAAGGAAGGAGTTTTGTGCGAGCGCGCTCTGAGATGAAACGTGAGGTTAATTATGAGTAACTGATTCTTAGTGGGCAACATTTTATGATATTTTGGTCTTACATACCCTAAAACAACACTTTTTTAATCGTTGCATTGTAATGTAGTATAGATTATTAATATCAAGGTAACAAAAAAATATTGTTGCCATTTGCTACAAAAGGTAACATGTATAAAAAGTGTTACAATGTTTCTTGTTGCCTATTCTCATTATTTTTTGTAGTGATAGGTCAAATAAAAAGTATAATATTCCGCTATTTCTATTTATGATAAATTTGATAACATTTTCAAATTAACTTTTAGTTAAAAAAAGTTGAAATCCATGTCAGTTTCGAGTCAAAACAATTTCAATGTCGATCAATATAAGTTAGTTTAGTTAGCAAGTTGGATAAAATCGGATCATGTGTCACTAAATGATCACTATGATTCAAGTAAGTGGTAGGTTATGTTAGATATTTATTATGTTAAAATTTAATCGAGTGTTATTTCGAGTTCAGATCATTGTCAGGTTGGGTCAAATCCATTGTCGGTCAATATCCATTCGGGTAGAAACAAGTTGTGACAGGTTATATTGTTTTCAGGTTCTAAACAAGTCGAGTACTAATCAGGTTCGGATCATAATCAAGTCGGGTCAAATCGATTTTCGGTTTATATCAAGTTGATTACAGGTTTGGGTCCAGATCATAAAGTATCACGTCTATTCGGTTATCAGTTAATGTCGGGTTTGTTTTGATTCAAGCTATATGTCACTGTTTTCAACTATTCTTCGGATACGGGTCAGATATAGATCATTGCTGTTTCAGGTTGGTTTTTCGGGTTGGGTCAGATATTGACACCCCCTTATTTTTGCCAACCTGAAATTATTTTTATTGAACTAAATTTTTTTTGTTTTTGTTGAAGTTTAATTATTTTTACTTGACTGAAATTAATTTACTTAACTGAAACTATTTTTGCTAAACAGAAATTATTTTTACTGATTTTCTATTATATTTCTTCTATAAAGTTATTGATTATTACTTCATTGAATATTTTTTTTATTGAACTCAAATCAATTTTACTGAACTGGACTTATTTTACTAAACCGAATTTTTTTTTAACTAATAAAATTATGTTTACTGAATATTATTTGTTTAAGATGAAGTATAGATCCTTATTGTACTGTGGCTATTAGTTAGATAACAACCGATAATAAAAATACATTAAAAGACACACCAGCAATGACACGAGTTAATTTCTAGTGTGTTCTTAGTATTTCTTTTATTTTTTAAATATTTTTGGAAAAAATATTTAATCTTTGTTATAATGTGCAATAATATATAGTGTGCCTTTTGTAGAATTATATAAGCTGTTTCTTGGTTTTTGGAGTCCCTCGGGAGAGTTATAATTCCGGGAATGCATGCGCGCGCGACCGTCTGTACCTGCAAAACCACGAAACTCCGGTTGGGTGGAGTTCCGCCTCCGACGATCAAGTTAGAACGTCTCCGGATGTATAAATGTACGGAAAGTAAATGGATTTTCTCTCTGATTCAGAGAGAATTCTGCAATTAATATTGCTCGGTTTTTTGTGTTTGTATTTATGAATGTGTAATAAATGAGGATTTTCCTCTATTTATAGTAGAAGAGAATCAGTTCTCCTATTAGGGTTATAGTGCCACGTGTCAGCATCCGATTGGATCCCATTGGGCCTCTCTGGGGGGCTGACACGTGTCAGCATGCCCTTGGGCCACGTGGTAGAGGGTAATTTTATACCAAACATTTGCCCCTCACAAGTGTGACGTGGCTTGCCACATGGCACCTGTGACACGTGTCACATTATGGGAAGGTGACGGTTTGCTCCTTCCCTCAATTTTTTTTTTTTTTTTAATTCGAATATCGAATTTGATCGAATTGGAGGGGGAGGTGACGGTTCGCCTTCTGCCCCCTCCTATAAATGGGAGGCTTCCTCCTCTCATTTCATACTTTACAAATTTTCGCAAAAAACTTCTTGAGAGAAAAAAGCTCTAACACCGGCTACTTTTGCGTTCAACCGGCTTCTTCTATTCAGACACATCCGGATACCGTTTGAGTGCTCTTTGCTGAACTCACTAAGGTACCGCCTGGCTTAGTCAATTTTCTCTTCTTGCTTTCAATAGACCCACAGCCGGTCTTATACTGTCTGGGGCCTCTTCAAGCAATTTTCTTCAAAAACACCTGACCATCCGTTTTTCTTTTTTTTCTTTTTAGCTTTCAAAACACCCACAGCTGGTCTCTACCGCCTTTAGTATCTTCAAGCCACATTTTGGGAAAACGGTTGAGTCTTCTACACATTTCAGTTGCTCTTCAAAGAGGTACATCCGAGCACCGTCTGGGGTATCTTCAAGCAACAAATCAGAGATCCGTCTGCTAGCTTAAAGGAGTCAACCTCCTTCCAAGTTTTTTCACAACTTCAAGGTACCGTCTCTACCCCTTGCAAGTTTTTTGATTTTTTCCCGGTTGTATAGATTGTTAGAGAATAATGGACTCACCCAACACACACACGGCACGGCACGGCCTAGGGCAGTTGTCAACCGGTCACCAGACACGGCTGAATCTAGGACTGGGGATGCCGTCTGGGGGTGTTCGGACCACCCTTACTCTTCTACGAATCCGACCGTCTCTGTTCATGTGCAGGACATAATTGCTTGGACAAGGTGGACGACTGTAGACCCCGATTACCAGTCAGGTGATTCAGGCGGAACTCCGATTGATGATGCTCCTTATGACCAACCGGGCATACCTAGCACGCCCGGTGATGGGATTCTTGAGGAATCCGAGAGCTAAGACGGTGAGGAGACCGTCCAGCAATCCGACTCCACTAAGTCAACGATGGAGCCGGATGCCCCTCAAGAGGATGAGGAGGCATATAATTGGCCTTCAATAAATAATCCAACGGAGGCGCACATGAGCGCCCGGGAAGTCGTTACTTTAAACGCCACTCTCCCGGCATTTTTGGAGAAGCGCCCGGTAGGGGCCAGATGGGAAGTCGTTGTTCTACCTGTGGAGGCAGCCGTCGTCTGGGATAACGACTTGGACCACGCCGATGATTACTTCGGCTGCTATGAGGCGGCATTCAAAGCCGGCCTCCGGTTCCCCCTCCACAACACAATTAAAGTCATTCTAAGGGGTTATGACCTTGGCGTCTAGCAGCTCACACCCAACTCTTGGGTGAACATTCTTGGGTACATAGCCGCCTGCAAAATGCAGGACATAATGCCTAGCTGGGAGGCGTTTGCACATATGCACTATCTCAGCCGTGCCCCAGGTGGCTGGAATGCGTGGTACACATTGACCAGCATCCGGAGTATATGATGACACTGGAGAAGCCGTCTAAGTGGAGCAGCTGGAAGAGCAAGTTTTACATTGTCTCTTCCCCTTCTCCGTCTGTTAACCACCGGCTGCGTCGCTACAATAAGCACCCGGCTCTCCTGGGAAAGAAGTGTGCCCTCACCAAAATACCGGAGAGATCATGGGATCAAATAATGGAGCCAGGTCTTTTCAAGAAGACCACCCTGCCTCTGGATGATGGGACACAAGTCATTGTCCCTAAATTCTGGGTCCCTCATCCGGATTGGTTTAAAGACGAGGTGTTCCTTTTCGCCTGCGGCCTTAGCACTTTTTGGAGCAAACGTACGTTGATTGCTAACCGGCATCTTATGCCACCTGTATGGTGTTTGAATGATTTCTAATTTTATTTTTCCTTTTTGCAGAGAAAGGTCTGGAAATGGTTCCTCCAGAAAAGACTCCGGCTAAGTCAGCCGCTGAGATCAGAAAGGAACAACTAGAGAAAAAGAAGCCCCAACTGGCGGCCAAAGACGATGGGGTAAGCACCGGCTGATCTTTGTACCGTCTGTATGACTTGTAGCCCATTTTAATACTAATTGGTTGCTTTGTTTTCTTTTGCAGACAGGGAGCAAGAACGTTCATCGTTCCTTGAGGCAAATGATGAAGAAACTGGGAGAGGAACTCTCCCAGCCTACTTCTTAGAGAAGGAGGGTTCCGGCTGCCCCTGCTTCTGCCGGAAGACTGCCGGCTCCTGACAGGCCTACTTCAGCAGGCAAGAGTCTGCGAGATCTGGGCTTGAATTCAGGGTCGGCTGAGGCCAGAACTGGGGAGCCTAAGGTTCCCTCTAGCCGGGTACTTGCTATTGCATCCGGCTCCAATGCGGCTGGGGGTGGTGTCAATCCTCGGCTTGAAAACCAAGGTACTGCTCTCACCTTTGACCCCCCCAGGCCGCTTGGGCCTGTTTGAGTCAAGTCCCAAGCTACCCAGTCAGGGGATTCTTCAGGCAGCCGGCGGAATATAGGCGTTACATATGCTTAGTACTTAACAAATAAATCTCATGATGCAGATGCCTCTTCTCGTTGGCCAGATCTACAAAACTATGCCAAGAGAATGCTGAGGACTCTCACCCGCTCCGAAAAGGAGGCGGTACTGGGTACCAACCAGGTCAACATTGACCGCATCAACTCACTACTGGTTGAGGTAATTTACCGGTTGGGGTACTTTTGTGCAATTTTGTTCATTGCCGGTTGTAGCATAACTAAGAAGCTAACTTCTTTCCGGCTGACTTTGTAGGTGATGTTGAGGGTTGATGGGATGAAGGTCCCCTTGCGGAAGAAGCAAGAGGAGGTAAGGGATGCCTAAAGAAGGGTAGCCGACCTTATTGATGTCACCCAATATAAAACGATTATGTATGAACTCGAAACTAAACGCCGGGAGATGAAACAGAAGGAGCTAATCAAGGAGCTCACGGCTGCTGCTGAGGAGGCCAACAAGATAGCAATCGACTTTGAAACTCAGGTTAACAATATCAAGGCTAATGTCAAAGCCTTGGGGGAGGCTGACAAGGAGAACACCGAGCTGAAGGCTGAGGTCAGCCGGCTGAAAAATGAGCTGACCTAGACTCAGGCGGAGCACAAGGACAAGTTGGCGGCTGAGCAGGACCGACTGGTCACCGAGAACGAGCGCGACTGCAAGGAGCGCATGAAGATGGCATGGTCCATGATCCATCTGGACACCGACTATGCTTTCTTCGACTTGAGGTACAAATACGCTACTGAAGTATTTGACGCTCAGGTTCTCTGGACAGAGAAGCCGGCGCCCTTTGAAAAATAGGCCGGCATCGAGGAGGAGCACGCAGAAGAGATAGTTCCGGGTGAGGCTAGAGAAGCCCAAACCCAGCAAACTCAAGAAACCCCTCCTACCGGCCAGGGCCAGCCATCACAACAGCAACAGCAGCAGCAGCAGTAGCTTAACATTTTTTATACTTCCTGCCTTCATCCGGCCTGCGTGCCGCGTACTTTCTGTACCTTTCCCCGGACAAGGGTCCGGCTGACATTTTAATTATATATATATATATATGTCGACTGTGTCGGTTTTGCCTTGATATTATTTTCTTCAATTTTTTGCAATTTTTGCCTTGAATGAAATATCTTCTTTTTTCTATTGCGATTTGAATTGATACATGCGGTATGCCGGGTCCATTGGCTCTGTCTGCCCCCGGACGGTTTGTGTGCTTATAGTTAATCCAACTCTAAGCAGCCAGCCGTTCATACAAGCATCCGGACTAATAAATAGGCGGTCCTTGACTGTTTTTAAAACAGAATTATTCCTAAGTTGGATATGCTGGCAGTGCCGGCTAAACCTAACCTAGATTACTCGTTTAACCGGTTGCGGATTACCCTCTGGGTATCCGGCAGTGCCGTTGATTGGTATACAAACGGTCGGTGGCCGGACGTATGTATTTTAACCAATCGCGGATTAAATGACAAGGTTTTGACCTTGTTTATGGAATTTGTAGCCGGTTGTAGTGCTTTTTGGCAAAAGCCGGCTACAGACCAAGATTTAATTCACCGTCTGTATTGCCTTGAGGCAATGACCAGGTGTATCTTGATTTCGATAGATTATTCGAACGGCCATGAGTTATCTTAAACCTAGTCGGTTAAAGTCGTTTGAGTTATGACCTGTAGAATATTGTACCACCCGGAAGGGAGATGTTCTCTTCGACGAATTCACCCAAATGGGCGTCGCCGGATGCCTTCTCATGTTGGAGCAGGCGGTTTATAATATGTTCGGCCATTGGCCTCATGAATAGTTAAGTTCGACACTTAGCCTTGTACTCTATTAGAGCAAACGGTTGCCCGGTTGTGCATTGCACAGATGGGACTTGGTAGTTGCCCGGTTGTGCATTGCACAGATGGGACTTTATATACACAAAATAGTAGAAAAAAAGTACTCTTTCATCAATATACTCTATTTACAAAAAATTTACAAGTCCTTAGAAGTAGTACTTTTTCAAGTTATCTACATCCAGGTTCTAGCTAGCTACCTGCCGTCTGAAGTTTTCAGGCGGTAGGTGCCACCTCTAATTTCTTCAAAAATCCGGTAGGGACCCTCCCAATTCGGGGTAGCTTCCCTTGCTCATTTGCCCTACCGGTTGCCTCCATTTTTTGTAACACAAAGTCCCCCACTTTCAAGAGGTCGTTTGTGCACTCTTTTTTTGTAGGCTCTAGTCATTCTCAGGCGGTATATCTCATGACGCAAGGCAGCATTGCCCCTGCGCTCCGGGAGTGAATCCAATGCTAGACGCATGGCCTCCCAATTTGCCTCTTCATAATAGAGCATGATTCGGAGTGTTGGCTCATAAAGTTCAATTGGCAGGACGACTTCAGTACCGTATGTCATGAGAAACGGGGTTTCACCGGTTGCCCCTTTTTCAGTTGTTCTGATGGCCCATAGGATATGAGACAACTCATCCGCCCATAGACCGCCAGCCCTTTCAATTTTCTTCTTAATGCCGTCTGAGATGAGCTTGTTGAAGGCTTCAACTTAGTCGTTTGCTTAGGGGCGGCCAACTGATGCAAAGCAATGTGAGATCCCTTGATCTCCCAACCAGCTTTTGAGGGTAGGCGTTTCAAACTGAGGGCCATTGTCAAAGACCATAGACATAGGAACCCCAAACCGGGTGATGATGTTTCTCCAGATGAAGGAGATGACATCCTTTGTCTTAATGCCCTTGACTGCCTCTGCCTCAATCCATTTGGTGAAGTAATCTACAGCCACCAGGATGTACCTCCGCCCGCCTGTGGCATGCGTATATGGACCTAAAATGTCCATGCCCCATTTTGCAAATGGAACCGGGCTGTAGATAACCGTCAAATCTGTGGCCGGACGATGTATGAGCCGGCCAAATCTTTGTCACTTGTCCACACTTTTTCACCATTTCCATGGCGTTTGCCTCAAGAGTAGGCCAAAAGTAGCCCTGCCATCTAGCGCTTTTTTCTAGAGTTCTGTTGCCTATATGTGATGCACAAAAGCCCGAGTGCAGATCCTCTAGAACCTCTTTTCCCCTTTCAGGGGTAACACACTTCAGCAATGGCTAGAGGTAACCCTTTCTGAAGAGCTCCTCCTTGTAGATTTCAAAACTTGAGGCTCGCTTTTTTAATGCAGCTGCTTCTAAAGGGACGTCTAGCAAAGTGCCGTTTGCTAGATAATCCCGGATGGCATCCATCTAGGTAGAGCTTCGGTCAACAACTCCATTAGGATCATGTCCAATGCTTCTTTTTTCCATGACTTCCCGGAAGACTGACCTAGGCGCATCACAAGTGGCGGATGATGCCAATTTGGACAATGCATCCGCCTGATTGTTTTCTGACCTGGGCACCTAACTTAGATGAAATTCGTCAAGTGTCTCAGCCTCATCTTTGACCGCCTGCAGATACTTGATCATCGCCGGATGGGTGGCCTCATAGTCACCATGGTACTGGCTAACGATCAACTGAGAATCTGAGCAAGCGTTAACCGGCTAGCAGGGCCTTGTACTCCGCCTCATTATTCAAGTCTTGGAACTTTAACCGTAGTGCGTATTCATATTTGTCCCCTTCCGGGGACTTGCAAATTACGCCTGCACCACAAGCGTTCGTAGTAGAGCTTCCGTCTACATAAACCTTCCAAACCCGATTAACATTGTCCGGCTGAGCCGGTCTTGTCATTTCAACAATGAAGTCGGCGAACGCCTGACCCTTCACTGCCTTTCTAGGTTCGAAGGAAATTTCCAGACTCTGCATTTCAATAGCCCACTTGAGTATTCTGCCGGATGACTCCAAGGTTGTCAGTGGCCTCTTGAGGGGTTGGTTTGTGTAGACCACCACTGGATGTGCCAAGAAGTATGGCTTTAACTTCTTGACTTCCGTGAACAGGGCAAGGCCAAAATTTTCAACCAAGGGGTACCGCAGCTCAGCATTTCGGAGAACATAACTAATGAAATAGACCGGGAGATGTATGCCGTCTCTCTCAGCTAGGAGAACGACACTGAGGGCATGATCTGAGACGGCCAAATACATGTAGAGAACCTCTCCTACCATAGGGCTGACCAGCCGTGGCAATGAGTGGAGGTGCTCCTTCAATTTCTAGAATGCCGCCTCAGCATTCTCCCCCCATTTAAATCTAGTCTTCTTCTTGATTGCCTGGAAGAAGTAGAGGCACTTGTCACCTGACCGGCTGAGGAATCTCCTCAATGCCGCCAGACAACCGGTAAGCTTTTGGACTTCCTTGACAGTTTCGGGTGACTTCATGTTAATTACCACCTGTACCTTTTTCGGATTGGCCTCTATTCCCCTTTAATCAATCAAGAATCCGAGAAACTTCCCAGACTCAACACCAAAGATGCACTTTTTGGGATTAAGCATGACCTTATGCCGCCTGAGGGTGGTGAAGGTTTCTCGAAAGGTGATCTGTCTGGAGCTTAGATTTGACTATCATGTCATCAATGTATGCCTCTACATTCCTCCCAATTTGATTAATGAAGATCGTATTAATCATCCATTAGAAGGTAGCAGGCACATTCTTCAGCCCAAACGACATCACCGTATAACAGAACAACCCTTGATCAGTGACGAATGCCGTCTTTTCTTGATCTTTTTTCCACAAGGGTATCTGATGGAAGCCTGAGTAGGCATCCATGAAGCTCATCAAGGCATGACCGGATGTAGAGTCGACTAGACTGTCGATCTTTGGAAGTGGATAGCTATCCTTCGGACATGCCTTGTTCAGATCTGTGTAATCAACACACATCCGCCAGGTACCATTCGACTTTTTGACAAGGACGACATTGGCTACCCAATCTGGGTAGTAGCATTGATGAATAAACCTGTCATCCAGTAGCTTCTTGACCTCAACGGCTGCCGCCTGAGATCTATCCTCGCCATGGTTCCTATTCTTCTGCCTAACCGGCTTCTTTTTTGGATCCACGGCGAGTTTATGGACAGCAAGAGCTGGGCTGACGCCTGGCATCTCTTCCACTTCAAAGGCAAAAATGTCTTTGAATTCCTTCAATAGTTGGTGCAAATCTGCACCCAACTTTGCAAAAGCAACCGTCCCCACTTTTACGGTTTGTTCCGGACGGCTGTCATCTAGAACAATATCAATATTTTCACCAGCCGGCTGGGGACGGAGATCCTCTGATCGTTCCCCGATCAGTGATTGCTATTACTTCTCTTTTTTTACGGCCACCAGGTGGTCCGCCTTTCTCTTTTTTCCTGCTGCTTTAGGAGCAGGCCCGGCTTCCTTGAAGTCATCAAGGTCGATGTGTTCCTCGCCTTGGCCGGCTGCAGCCACAGTAGGCTTGACGTCTGAGAGATAACACTCCCTAGCCGTCTTTTGATCCCCATTCAGGGATCCCACTAACACGTCATCCCTCTCAAACTTGATCAGCATGAGGGATGGGGTGATGACTGCCTTGGACTCGTTGAGGGTTGGACGGCCCAGAATCAGATTGTAGACGGTCAATTCCTCGACCACCAAGAACTTGACGACCATGTGTCGTCTTTCCCCCTTCTCTCCTAGCTTGGATGGGTAGGTCAATCCTCCCCACCGGATGCACTGCTCCTCCCCCAAAGCCGACTAGGGGGTGAGAAGCCTTGTGCATGCTATAAGGCTTGTACTTGAGCTTTGTCAAGCACTGATAGTTGATAAGGTCAGACGAGCTCCCGGTATCGATGAGGATCCGGCCCACCCGTTGGTTGGCAACCTTACACTCGATGACAATTGGGTTGTCATGAGGCCGCCTGACCTTGCCCTGATCCTTCTTAGAGATGAGGACCTCAGGGAAGGTGTCTTTCGACAGCTGGCCCTCATCCACTGAGTTGACCAGTTTCCGAATGTTGTCCTTGGTGCCCCGGATGGTAGGGCCCCCACCCGCGAAGCCGCCTGTTATGGTAAAGATGTGCTCTTCATCAGTGTCAGAGCTCACA